GGGTGCACCTCAAGGGGAGCCCCATGTAGAGAGCATTGCAATAGTCCAGGCGGGAAACAACGAGGGCTTGAGTGACTGTGCGTAGGGCATCCCGATCCAGAAAGGGGCGCAACTGGCGTATCAGGCGAGCCTGATGAAAAGCCCCCCTGGCCACGGCCGTCACATGATCGTCTAAAGACAGCCGAGCATCCAGGAGGACACCCAGGTTGCGAGCCCTCTCCGCGGGGGCTAATGACTTGCCCCCGATAGCCAGAGAATTCTGGCTATCGGGGTTGGAGCATTCACTGCTTCTGGAGGCAGGTTGTTCCATTGGTTAATTGTTCTAACTGTCAGGAAGTTTCTCCTTAGTTCTAGGTTGCTTCTCTCCTTGGTTAGTTTCCATCCGTTGCTTCTTGTCCTGCCTTCAGGTGCTTTGGAGAATAGCTTGACTCCCTCTTCTTTGTGGCAGCCCCTGAGATATTGGAACACTGCTATCATGTCCCCCCTCGTCCTTCTCTTCGTTAAACTAGACATACTCAATTCCAGCAACCGTTCCTCATATGTTTTAGCCTCCAATCCCCTAATCATCTTTGTTGCTCTTCTCTGTCTCAGCATCTTCTTCATACAAAAATTATTTGTATTGTAGTTTTTTTTATAACTCCATAGAGGTAGAAGTCTTTAATAAAAGGTAGATAACATATAAAATGACAGAAAAGAACATAAAAATACATATAAAAATCACAAAAATATAAAACATATATGTGTATCTCACGTATGTCCTTCTGTGTTAAAAATATGTAAGAATAAAATAAAATAAAAAATAAAGGTAAACATACACACCTATCCATACAAGTAAATTTATACTTTAAAATAACCCATATTATGATTTGTGTGGTTGGGGGTTTAGCACATGAAAAGTTTGTATCCTCAGGTTTAACTCAAGTAGTTTCAGCTTTACAAGCAACCGGAGAACCAACGAGAATTGCTCTAAATTTACACTAATGGCTGCAGTTTATAAAATAATTTTCTCTGAAGCTTGGAAGAAATCAAGTAGAAGCTTTTAGTACTGGCAGCAGGTCATAAATATTTCAAATGTGCAACTTCGGAAAGCAATAAAGATGCATCCAGCTGGTCTAATCTGGCTTTTGCATGCTATTGTAGCTTCTCTACTACATTCAATTAAATCTTTGCCAGAATCGGGGAAAATCCTTCATAGCAAAAATGACTCGACGGTAGAATAAACAGAGGTAAACAAACATATAGATGTCAAACTTCTGGGCCTTCAAGCCATCCTTTTTTTTTGCCTGCTGGCCTATGTGACAATCTGTTTAGTCTCACAATGTACAATTGACTTCTCTAAGAATGAACTGGATCAGGGGTAGGCAACCTTGGCTCTTTTATGACTCGTAGACTTCAACTCCCAGAATTCCTGAGCCAGCCATGCTGAGGGGAAAGGGAAAGTTTCCAAGCTGAGCCATGCTGGCTCAGGAATTCTGGGAGTTGAAGTCCACGAATCATAAAAGAGCCAAGGTTGCCTACCCCTGAACTGGATGGATTCACACCAGAGGCGTAGCGTGGGGGGTGCAGGGGGGGCCGGCCGTACCGGGCGCAACATCTGGGGGGGGCGCTCGCACTCGCAGCTCTCTGCCCCTGCCTGTGCGAATCTGATCCGAGCCGCCGGGTCGCCGCCCACTGTGGAGGGAGGGGGGCGCAGGGGGGGGCACAAATTCGCAGGGGGGGCGCAAATTACTTGCCTTGCCCCGGGTGCTGACAACCCACGCTACGCCACTGATTCACACCTAATGCTCAGTCATAAGCTGTGATTTATAAGCTGCAATGCCTCAGTGAACATATTAGGATTCCATGTGCTCTGAAAAATTAAACTTTTTGATCCTATAACGTTTTCAGGGTTTTGTACTTATTGGAGAAGGCTTATGTTTTAAAAATCCAATGGCTTTTAAAATATAAAAATATTTTTAAAATATCAATGGCATTCTAATATACTTGACCATCTTTTGATGTTCTCCTGACAGGATGGACTCCATTTCACGTGACTTTCAGCCAATACCTCAGGGGTCATTGTATCCAGTAAGAAACAACATGGAACAATGGAAGAGACTCACGTAGCTCCTCTTAATCACAACTGTCTTCCTAACTTGGATTTAGAGACCTAGAGCAGAGTCTAACCCAGGGGTCTTCAAACTTGGCAACTTTAAGACTTGTGGACTTTAACTCTCAGAATTCCTCAGCCAGGCTGGCTGAGGAATTCTGGGAGTTGAAGTCCACAAGTCTTAAAGTTGCCAAGTTTGAAGACCCCTGGTCTAACTTCTTGGGAACAGTGCATTCTCCTGCTTTACTAAGCAGCTTTTTTGGATCTTGAACTATCAAACATTGATCAGCTTTCTGTAAATCATTCTTGCAATTTAATGTAAGCAAACAGAGCAAACCAAGAGTAAAGAAACATGACTTTATCTGAGCAATATATGACCCTCCAGGTGGCACCTAATATCCATCACCTGTAGCCATCATGACAAAGCAATGGGAATGGCAGTCCTACCACTTCCAGTACGTGTCCTGCTGTCAAGTCCTGCCTTAGGAACCGTAGTGCAGACTACAGACTACAAGAATGTGGTTTTCCAAGGTCAATCAATATCTGGTCAGAGAGGCTGGCTTGAATTCATACCTCTTTGTTCCCAGCTCAGTCTCTTAACTGTTTTTTCAAAATCGTCTCTGGGAGATTGAGGGAAAGAAATGCACAATATAAAGCACAACTTCAACTGTTCCTCTCTTCTTCTCCAATATATTATATGGTTAAAGGAAAACACCAAATAAAATAAGGTCACTCCAAGCATTTACTTCATTAGAAGCAAATGTATAATATGTTGTAGGGAAGGAATGAGCTAGCTGGTTGATTAGTATCTGATTTTCTTGTTAATGTTTCTTTTGATATTTTGTAAATATACAGTATGAATATAGACAGATGTCTAAAGACTAACTCCACATTTCTTTTCCTATCCCCTTTTCTGCTTTTTTATAAACTGAATCATAGAATTGCAGAGTTGGAAGGGATCAACCTCTGAAATGTGCAGAAAAATCAATTAACCCATCCAGGAGAGGTATCTGTCCATCCTCGCCTTAAAAATTTCCAGAGATACAGAACACACAACTTCCATAAGTAGATTGTTGCATTGTTGTTCAGATCTTAGCATCAAAAAGTTTTTATTTATATCTAATTTCTGTATCATGAAAAATAAGTTTTGGACATCTATATTGTAGCTTCCTTTTATATACCTGAACACTACAATCACTTCTCCCATCAATCTTTTTTCAAAAGTGAATATTCCAAATTCTTTCAACTTTCCCTTATATAGCACGTCTTGAAGTTTCTATATCATCTATGCTGGTTTCCTCTGAATATCTCTAAAATGTTAATATCTTT